AACATAATGTATATCAACAACTCCGTCTTCTAACAGACAAACCATAACTTTATAAAACCCGTATTCAGCAGCTATAGGTAAAGCTTGCATCTTATCTTGTAATGATAATATTTCTACGACTTCCTGTATATTTCCATCCTTTTCAGCTTGACGTAGTTTAAACCGCAACCTAAAATATATTAAAGATGTTGTTTTAGTTTTAAAGATGATATAAATACAATAACAATGTAAAAATTCGCCGTATTCTGTCTTATTAATCAAGAATTAATCAATACATCTATATTATAAAATAATTCTTATATTTAAAATATGTAATTGTCTAAATATACATGAATTATTTATACCGTTTAGTTAGAGTGTTATTTGAAACTGTCTACCAGAGATGATTTAACGAACTCTTGAATAGCCTAGATGTCGACATTAAATTCACTGTTGAATCTAGTAAGGTAAAACTAAACTTTCTCGATGTCACGGTGAATCTTTTACCGAATGGTCAAATTGAAAATGATATGTATTATAAACCGACAGACACACATCAGTATCTCAATTTTAATTCATGCCATCTTTCTCATATCAAACGTAATATTCCGTATAATTTAGCCAGACGTGTGTGCACCATAGTTTCACAATCGGATATCAAATAGATGCGCCTTAATGAGCTTAAAGGTTTCTAAAAAAGCAACACTACCCGGCAAAACTAGTAGATGATGTCATTCGAAAAGCTTTAAGTTTAGATCAGAGCAAATTAAGGTGTCCAAAAACCCACCACAAGAAGATGGTAAATCTATAATTAATAATAATCTCCATATTCTTAAAAATAGCCCGATTATGGATGATGTAATAAATAAGACAAAAATAATAAATAGTTTAAAGCAGCTTGGCTAAATTACTAATCTCATCAAAATTCGAATCAACTAAAATCATACCCACAGTTAACAAGTGTAATGAATCCAAATGTAAAACGTGTTCAATCATAATTGAAGGTTCATCCATAAATATCACGGACAATTTTACATTTCATGTAAAACAACCAATGACTTGTAAATCTGTTATTATTTTCCGGGCTGTAAGGGTAGATATATCGGAAAGACCATAAATATGCTTAGATTAAGAATGAACCTCCATCGACAACATATTCTTAATCCGCTATACAGGATAATACACCTGAGCCGACCCCTCGATGTTTGTGGCAAATGCAATTTTAATGTCTTTCCGTTATATCAATTAAACAGCAAAAACAACTATCTATTAGAAGCAAAGGAATCATATTTTATTAAAAAATTCAAAATATTCCTTAATTCAAGGTGTTGCTTTTTGTTATATTAACATTGTAGTTGTGTAAATTATAAATGTTTAATTAATAATTTACTATATATTGATTATTTGTATAAATTCCCCCCCCCCCCCCCACGTGCAGTTGGTAATAAACACTAAACACTATCTTGTAACAGTAACGGTAAAATAATGGTAATAATAATTATAAAAACTACCTTGTAACAGTGAGATTGTAAAATAGTTACTTGTTTCCAAGAATTACACAAGTATAGTTTCTGAGAAGCCAGTATTCCTCGATATCTGCTGTTTAAAGTTATAACAGTTATATCATACATATGACCTATATCACTTCGTTCACAGTCATTATTTACATTATAAAAGAGATATTTTCAGTATACGCAGCTATTGTCAAGTTGTTGTGCAATACACATGCGTATGTACAAATGAAATGAAATGAAATGGGGCTTAACGTCCTCAGTTCTCCGTTTGTGCTAATGAAAACGGACATACGCCATGTAGCTTGCTATGAGGGACATTTTGCCAAGACAGCGGCTCTATGGCCTACGCTTATCTCGAAGTAAAACTGTCAAGGGTTCTTTTACGTGCATGCCTATGTGTACAAGGGATTTCGGTCTTTCGTCCCATCCAAACGACTATACGTTGTTGCGTGCAAGGTCACCCGCCCTACAAGACAGACAAAGCAGAATCACGCCGGAAAATCTCGATGAACGTTCTCGGCCAAAGCAGGGATCGAACACGGGACCTCTAGGTTAGCGAGGCAACGTCCAACGCACTGAGCCACCATGGCTCTGTATCAGCCTTACGGGTTAGCGTATAGTATTGACAAGTCCCTTAATTACTTAAGAATGAATGGAGAAAGAGAGAGAAAAAGGGTTTAACGTCCACAAATTAGGTCATTTAGGGACTAGCATATGGTTCGATTTTTTTTCAATAATTCGCTTGTGCGTAGGGGTCTTTAACAGTGGGAGGAAACCGGAGGACCCGGAGAAAACCCACGAGGTTTAAGAGTTTAAACAATATTTTATTTCTTAGTGAGTGACAGCTATATTTAACATACATGGATACAATAACAAGCATTGCTGCTTATGTAAAATCGCTTCCGTAAATAATGATCATTGAGAAGATAGACGACTGGATATGTTTGATTTACAAATTTTACAGGGTGCAGAAGGTGAAGGTAAAGATCTCTTGGAATGAACATACAATACACATACAAGTAGATTATAACGGTAGATATTCAATAAGACGATGTCGATGCCAAGGCCCAAAATTAGTTAGCCAAGTTTTATGAGTTCGCCTGCTTTCTGAGGGAGGAAAGGTTTGGTAATGATCTAGGCACTTTTAAAGCGTTTCGTTAGTTTGATAAGTCATGTACGATTTCAACGATGAAGGAATTGTCCTCAAAAGAAATATCCGTGTTTCCAGAAAGTATCGTTTGTATATTTTTATGTTCAAAATCTAATTTATTTATTGTTATATTTCGCTAAGAGTTGTATAGTGGACAGTGTAAGAAATAATGTTCACAGTCTTCGACACCTTGACCACATAAACAAGAGGGATTTTCCGATATGTGCATGCTTGATTTTAATTTAGTTTTGAATTCAGAATTAGTTTTTGAATTTTTTATTGGAAGACTTATATCATTCCACTGTTTAACAGAAGATGGAAAGAAAGAATTCTGGTAAAGTAATGTTCTACAGTTTATTTGCTTAATTATTTGGTTTGGGTTTCGAAGACGGTTGGGATGGTCAGCGGATAAAAGAGGTGGAACTATATCGGTTAGATATGTAGGGACTAGTCCATTTAAAATTTTGTAGAAAAGTATCATTTTATGTTGATAGCGTCTTAATTGAAGCTGACAGATTCCAGTTTCCGTATAAAGTATGTTATGAGAGGTACCACATGGAAGACCCGTTATAGTACGCAATGCGTCGAGTTGAAGTTTTTCAAGTTGGGTAGATTTATCTTTAGAACAATTATTCCATACACAATCTGCATAATCGAAAATTGGAAGAATGAATGATTTATATATAGTTTCTAGCGTTTTTCGTTTTAGACAGTATTATATCATTCGATTTAAGTGTCGGTAGTTTATATTCAGAATTCCCCTATTAAAAGACACGTTTCTGGGTTTTTTATCAAAGACCACCATTTTGATTCATTAAAGTTATTTTCGTTTATTAATTTGTTAGGCTTGGACAGGCGAACCTACTCCTTGTCACATACAACCGGGGAATCGAACCACACCAGTTCAGTCATTGACAAACCTTATGATAAAACGCGTTCGCCCTAACCATCCGGCCATCCAATCCCCCAAGAATGAATGGAGTTTAACGTTCCACCTGTCAGCACTGGTTCGTGTTAACTTTGAAGTTCCTGACTAATGAATATAGTTTGTCTATTTATGACTTTCACCCGCTCCCCCGTTTTGAATCTTATGTTTTGTCTTTGATCTCAGATCGACGAAGAACGTTTGAATTGATACATTTATTTGCTGCCAGGATTTGGGTGAGTATTCACAAATTTGAGTTGGACTGATCCGGAAGTAAACAAACGTGAATTAGGAATATTGCGTACTAAAATGACGTCACAGTCTATTATAGATTTCTTTGAACGGGGCTAGATTAGATCGAAAAGGTCAAACCCGTCAATGGTGAGAGAGTGAAATCGTCATCTAAGGACTAACGTATGGTTCAATGTTATCTCAATAACTCGCTTGCGCGTACCCAGGGGGCAATTGGAGGACCCGGGATAACCCATGAGATTGGACAGGCGAACCTTCTCTTTTTCACGTACCAGCAGCGAATCGTAACCACGCCACTCAATGGCAGACCTTATGATACAACGCTTTAAACAATTCGGCCACCCAACACACATCAGTCTTAGCCTGTCAATACGATTCGAGTTGTCTCCCTTGACCAACACGGCGTCCTACGTTAAATATTACAACTTCGATGCTACCAATACAAAATATGTCCCAGGGTAGCACCAGGGTGTTGGTAGCACTTTTAACCAGTCTAACAGAAGTATGAATTGTATTGGATAGGGTGTTATTTTTTATTTTTAAAAAGGGTCTTGGGTGAACAATTTTAAGTTATATGTAAATATTTTGGATGATGGACAATCTTTTTTTTTTTTAATTTATTTTATTTATCAAAAGGCATAGAAATATTAAAAAAAATAATAAGTATTATAAAGTATAACTATATTATCCTACTAATAAATTTCACAAGGATTTTATCATCAATAATTTCTATATATGGATTTAATTGATATAAAAGTTGAAACTTGGGTAATAATCCATGATGTTTCATATAAATATAAACATTATTCATATGATCTGTTAAAACTGATTTAAATACAGCACGTATTTCTAACTTGTGATTTTGCTTTAAGAAATACAACCTTGTCTTTAGAACAGCCAATCTAGCAGCCGAGAATAAAAATACTAAAAATAAATTATCAGCTTACTTTCGGACGGGATATCCAAACATGAACCAAACCACATAATCATCTCTGCTAAACTCTTTGCTCTAAAAATTCACCTAAATCATGTCATATATGACCTCGTGTAATGCATCCCTCGAATTTTGTATAACACCCAACCCAAACAATCAAGATGCGAGATTCATCGAAGCTATTCCCAACTATTCAGAGGAGGTTACTCTTGTGTTCCTCTAGTAAGTAACGACTAAGACTAATAATATGTTCAATATGCCCGTTCCTTTATTTCAAGGTTATGTCATGATATGAATAACAATAAAATACAGTTAGTGAATCATTCTATAATAATATGGGTGTCCGGCGTGGTGGGAGATAACGTTCACAACACAAACCCTTAACGTCCTTGACGTCGCACATTGGTTAACCCGGTGATAATGGAGGCATATTCTGCAGACTTACTTATGGTGACATTTGTAACATTAACATGTACGACCAAGTTCCATCAAGGCCACTATTCTCACCTTTCTAATTAGTTAATAGGTTGTGATTATACGGTAATTGTTATAAAGTATCGGTTTTATCTCTTGGTTAGCTTTGGATATAACGAACCGTTATCTGCTCTTCCGACATTCTAGCACCCTTTATATAGGAAAATTAGACTGTCACGTGACGTTATCAACCAATGAATAATTGTCCCTTTTCTGAATGTCGCCACTTCTTTGAAAAATAGCCTACTTAAATATTAAAACGAACTTGTCCGTTTTACTTAAATTTGACCAGGAATAATTTGAGATGTACAACAAAAAGATTGATTATAAACAGACAAAATGGACAATAACTATTGAACCGAGTAATTTGATCAAATGTGATCATACCATGTTTAATTATTCAAGACGTAATAGGTAACAATATAATCCAGTTGAACTACGTCAACCCTGGTTATAAAACATAATTATTATAACAACCAAGATAAAATACTAGTGTTGACAATGATCATTAAACAAATAGAAATATATGTAACAATCTGACACAAGATGGACGTCTACGTTGTGACATATAAATATGTTCGTAACTAAGGACCATTTTAATGCAAGATTGAACATTTTGGAAAAGAAGTATGCAATGATATAATTTATAATAAGTGTACATTGAACAATAATAGCCCTATATAAAAGACCGAATTCTATATATTACAATATGATACATCTTTAAGAAAGTAAAATTAATGTTAGAAAATCTCCCGAGTCAGATTAAAAACAGAGTAATCAGAAGATTTTACCTAAGATTACAGGTGGCCTTGACTTTTGATCATATCCCATTTATATCATCTGTAAAGGATTCTGAATATTGACCAATTTTTAATTCATCATATCTTTGTATATACTCAACAGAATATTTGGGGGCCTGACACGGCCCCCAGTGATTCAATTTTTACAATATTTCAAATATTAGAGACATTGAATACAATGTAAATAAATATTTTTGTAAGTAAATTGTAAATTTGAAGCTGAGATTGTAGAATATACATATTTGGTATTTTTCTCAACAAAAGTAGACGTATATTTTAAATTATTTCAAGAAATCTACGACTTCTTCTAATTCTCTTTGTGCCCATCAATTCTCCATTACTTCAACTGACACTTTCCATTTTACATGATAAATTCGTTTATCACAGGAAGGACATTTTTTACCTCCTGAAAAAAAAAACCAAACATAATCTTATATTATGTGTTACTTTTTATTTTAAATGTAGATTAAGTGATATAACATGAAATGGGGTTTAACGTCCTACTTTTCTGCAGGACTAATGAAGATCGACATACGTCATACAGTGTACTATGAGGGAAAGTTTACTCAGACAGCGACATTCCCATCTAGTCTTCCACGACATTCCAACTGTCTGTCAAGGGTTCTATTAAGTGCACGACAATGTGTACAATATGGAGCCTTGCATTTCTGACTCGTCCAAATAAGAGAATAAACTTTTTATCTTCGGTCAACTATCTAAAGTGAGATCCGTGGTTTGAATATTGAACAAATTTAAAACAAAACAAAACAAATAGAAGACACAAGTAACACTTAATAAACATATCAGAACATCAAGTCAAAAATTAAAATCACAAAATTATTAACATTTAAAATATTGGCCATACGCACTCCTTATCCTTAAAATGGTAAGTATAATATAAACATGATATTATGGAATAAAAATGGATTATCCCTGGCACATTCTATTATAATCTTGGTTTATTTTGACCAAATGAGATCAAAATGGTCACTTTCTACTCAGTTAAAGAAATTTGTCGATGAGTGAAGCCGATCCCTAATTTTTCTGGATCCCAAAACTACCTCATTTTGATGGTCACGCAAGTCACAAAAGTGAGTATATTTCTTTTATAGCACCCTTTTAAAATAACTTTATTATTTGACAAATATTAATGATAAATAAGCATAAAAAACTGAATATCTGAATGAATTTTTGTAATGCTATCAATTTTTTCTAGCGCAAAAAAAACTACTTAAAGTCATGTCACGCGAGTCACATGTCACACGAGTCACGCTATATTGTTCTACTTTTAACTTTATTTTTAGCGACTTTAGGGCAGTAATTCAGTTTGCTATACTGCTTGTAGCCTAACATGTTTCCATTCTAAAACTAATTTGTTGTTTTCTTTCCAGGATGTCACTGGTTGCTGAATCTTTTTCGGGTAAACGGTCCGATATAAAATATATTTCTATGGCTCAAGTTTTGGATGTTGATGGTCAAGATGTTCTTTTGCGATACCTTCAAAGAGTTGGAGATAATCTATATACCTGGCCTTCAGATCCAGAGGAGTCCTGGCTAAATAAAGAATTTATAATTTTGATTGAAATATTATTGAGCAAATTATTTCTTGTTTGTTTTGACAATGAAAGACAATAAAAAAATTAGTTGATTATATTGAAACATTAGTGTTTTTTTCTACCTGTCACGCGAGTCACATTTTTATGTCACGCAAGTCACATATAAAATCTCAGTCATCACAAAACTCAACAATAAAACACCACATTGTAACAAAATGATGCTACGGCTCAACAATTTAGCTTCATATACATATAAGTCATATTCCTATATTCTATTTACTTTTCTACTAAATGGGGGGGGGGGGGGGGGTCAGTATCATTGCCCATGAATGCGCTGCAAATGCATGTCACACGAGTCACAACTCAATATGATCACATTGCACAAAATTTTGCCCAAGAAAGTAATATTTAAAGTGTTTCTCATGTAACAGAACACAAAAACTTTACTTGGGAGTAGTTTTTATAGAAACCGATTATTAGGTTTCATGATATTCATATTTAAAAATTTGTGTTGCGTAGAAATGTCACGCGAGTCACCGTGGAATGACTGATATCATTTAAGCAGGTGTAAAGTTTAGTTTTCTTCACCCATTGAGGTCGCCATGACTCCCAGCAGTATTATAGATATTTACCTATAAATGGAGGTGTTTTCATGAACGTATCTAAACAACCATTATGAAACAGATGACCACAATAAACTCTTTGTCTATTTGATTTTTACAACCTTTCAGTTGATTCTGAAATAAAATATTTTTCACACATTATCTAATTTTTATACCTTAAAGTCTTGATGCATCATTTTTCATACATGACCATATTGTCTACAGCTTAATTCATGATAAAATCTACCGGTATTCAAATTGATTATTTAACATTTAATTTATTTAAGAAAATAAAATCAGAATATCAACAGTGATATAATCTCCTGGCTTCAATTCAATCTGATTAAAAGAGGTCAATCGAAATATTTCAGACTCTGTCCATTCATCTGTTTCGCTTGGGTTTGTTTCTGGAGAATATCTCTTAAACCGATCAAGATATCTTTATGATACTTTGTACACACATCAACCTATTGTAGTAGTTCTGCCTCTTGATAATTAAAAATTTCATGGATTTAATAGTTTTTGTGTTTCCATGGAAACAAATTCTACTTTTTGGTGTACAAGTTTGCAGCATTATATCTATAACTAGTTTATAAAGGGCTGCATCCTAGATTAAACCATTATTAATATTATACAGTTTTGTCAAGTTAGTTAAGTTAGGGAATTAATACGCTTTGGTTATTAGACAAAATATAAAAAACATTACCTCAGGATCTTCAGCTACACAGTGGACAGTTTTCTAGTGGATATCTCTTGACACAATCACGTATCAAATAATCACAACCAACTTTTAATGACGGTGTATGTTCGAATACAGCAGCTCTGAAAAACATAAACAAAACATAGGTTTTCTTTTATAGATAATGGAGAGAACATTTACAAGACGCTAAAAACTTATCTAGGTATTGTTTATACAATTTATAACATTATTCCAATTTTTTAGATATATTTTGTAGTGTTTTTACACATAACAACTATCAATGTAACTGTATTTATTGTATTTTAAGGTTAAATTATTAGAAATACTATTTTTTAACAGTAAATTGACTAACAGGTAAGATCTCCAATTTGTCAACTGGACTGTCAAGTCTGACTGAGACTAACTAAGTTGTTTTATTGTAATGATACACAAACTTTAATTAAATCTTATTTCACCATTCCTACTTTTATCATCCAGAAAAGATAACTCTATTTTGAATTATCTCCCCTTATACCACAATTTAAAACTTGTCTGCCTTAATCACATCGCTAAAAACAAATTCTAAATAAAATTGTAAATGACTAATCTATGTCAAGATAGACAGTATCAACTTGCATGTGATTACTGGTAAACAACAACAAATATAAACAAAGAAATCTGGAGAGATATATTCTAGAAATAAAATAAGCTTTAATCATTTAATGTCCTATTTTTCTGCACACCATATTCTGGATATGTTCATAAAATTATGAAGTTTAATTTAACATTTTAAAAAAAAACTTGTGATATTTAAAACCTATCCTGGTACTAAATATAACTTGAGAGTTATCACCCTTACCTGACGGCCTTCAATCTTCACAGATCTTCTCCAGTTTATCACTCAGTAAATTTCTGTTCTACAAGTATAGTCGACAGGAAACTATATATTAGCTATTAACTGAAATACAAAACGTTATAATATAGGAATAATGTTTAATATCTACACAATCATTTGATTATTTAAATAGGACAGACAGGTCTATACAATAATGTGATAGGAATGGGGTTTAACATCCAATTTGTTAAAACACGGGGATCACGGTGGCTAAACTTTTAGTAGATTCAGATTCAGATGTGATGTCAGGTAACAATGGAGTTAAGTTATTCCATGATATTTTAAAATGTAAGAGGTTGGGGGTGTTCAGTTATTACATGGGGCGTAAGTTGATTGTTAATGGTTTTACAGCTGAAGGAGAAAATATGCTTCATCTTTTAGCTGGTGTTAACTATGATTATTCTGCAAACACGTTTAAATGGTTGTTAAATAACGAACTAGACATCAAACATCCATGTTCTCAAACCAACACACCTACTATGATAGCTGCCTTTTTATTAAACAGCAAATATTTAGAATTGTTGACACGTCATCCTAGACTAGAGATCAATACACACAATAACCAGGGTCATACGGCTCTCCATCTTTCTATCATTGGATTTACTATGTTTAAAGATGGTTTGAACAAGAGACAGGTAAATGATGTTGTTAAGAATTATTGTAGACAGATATATCCAATATACATGACTTGTATTGATATTTTACTTGGTTTTGATGGAATAGATGTAAATATTCCAGATAATGGAGGTAGAACTAGTTTAATGATGGCAGCAATGAAAAACGACAGAGTTCTTACAAGGAAACTACTTCAAGCTGGTGCCATAGTTACCATGTTAGACTATTCAGGAAGATCTGCTCTACAATATCTTAATATTATCAAAGTGTGTTTGATTTGACTTGTTTTAAATTACTTCTATCTAATGGTAATACTGGTCTTCTCGATTTACCCTGTAATGATGGCAACACGATTATCAAAACAGCCTTATGTTTTCCCCGCTTCTGGGAACCATGCCGCGTTGTTCGTTTTATTAGATATTTAGTTGCTGAAAACTGTGTTCAGACTCTCATTATCTCTTCAGGTGAAAGTAGCTATAATCAAATTGATCTTACTGAACTAAGTAGTTCAGATAGAGATAAACTGAGAAAACTGTTATATCTTAGTGGTGCCCATGCGGGAAATTATGACAACTTTGAATTTTGATAAGGAAGATCACACTACCCATTCACAAGGCAGGGAAGAATTCATTAGTTTCTGTAGTAATATATCTCTCAAGTCCCTGTACGTAGAAGATTCATCAGACAGAATCTTGGATTGGGAATAAAGGAGAAGGTAAGGGATCTTGAATTACCTCGTGAATTAAAGGATTTTCTTCTGTTAAAAGATGTTCTTCATCCTAAAGATTACAACATAGATAATATTGATGATGGTTGTAATGATTTTGATGATGATTATGATAGTTATGATATAGAGATGATGATTATAGTCAATATAACTACCAGTATTTTACTCTCAATACGGATCATGAACTAAGACAAGATTTCCTAAAAACCAGGATATTTCCTAATGATGTTGATATATCTAGTGATAGTGAAGGTGATTGATGGTGATTTATAGACAAATAAAGATGATGATTATAATAGGCCTACTGATATTTCCCAGTGGTGATGACACGCCCCAAATCCTCAATTACATTATGTCCCTTTATACATTGTCAACTCTCAACAAGGGTGGATACAGGAATTTTGAAAAGGGGGAGTGCAAACCCCTATTATTCCCGACAGAGAGATATGAGAAAAGAAAGAACCTCAAGCGGATCGAGCCAAATAAATTTTTCTAGCTCATTGAATCTTAATATATAAAAATATACTTTGTCGTACAATAAAAGACATGTTGGTTGTTCCTTTTGAGATTTTATAACGTTTTATATAATATATTGACAAAGCCTAAAACATAAGCGTTCCGCCAGTTCCAATAAATTCACAAATTCTATACTCCCTTTTACAACTGATAATAAATTTTTGATTTAATTTATATATGCACATATTTTATTTTTTATATACGCACATATTTGATGTTTACATATGTTGCCATTACTAAATAATAATTTATTTTTGCTACTGTTTTATTTAAAATTATTGTGTTAATATATAAATTTTATTATATTCTTGTATTTCGTTACTATTTATCATTCTTATATAAAAGCTTTAAGAAATATTGTAGATGACGCTAAATAAATGGCTTAAAGAAATAATCAAATTGGAGGGGGGTGGGCCTAACACATGAACTATTGATTATAAGGTATGTCACTGAGTTAGGTAGCGTTGTTTCAATCCCACCCCATGGGGTTCCTTTCGGATTCCCCCCACTGCTAACTAAAGCCCACTACATACAAGAAATTGGCATAGTTTGTGTGTGACAACGTTAAACACCCACATCCACCCACGACAGGTATTACTGTCAGGTTGTAACTTTTAACTTAGACCAAACTCTCTTGGGTAACATTTCGACATAAAACTTTCAATTGAATAAAGAAAAAATAAAGGGTGTTCATTTCGTCCTGACCATTGTGTGTGGTGTGGTGTGCTAGTCAGGCGAATTGGGCACATGGAACTGGATCCCAAACGGTACTTGTCTTGTTCCTCGGGCGATCCTCTTCCAAAAAGGCCCAAGTAGGATCAACATTATTAAACATGACATGCTTGTTCTATGGGCAATCGCGCATCGATTTTGTATATGACGTCACAATTTAAAGGTGGCGGCCATGACGTCATGTTCGGTTGCTGGTCCGTATACTACGGTCATTGGGGACATTGGCTTGGATATATTTTTACATGTACAACATTGGGTAGACCTGGATTCTCATGTCTAAATATTAAGGCCACCTGCAGATTTCATCAAGGTCACCTGATGTAAACAGGTTTAGGGCATGTGGTTGCTGGCGAAGACAGTGGGTTGGGTTAGAGTTAACCCTGTTTACATCACGTAACCTTGACGATAATCTACAGATGGCCTTAATATTTAGACCTAACCAGTCTGACCCTCTCAGATGCATTCCGTGAAAACTAGGCGAGAAAAATCCTAAGCTATGATCTCAAAACATATAGGAATTTAAAATTAAAAACGAAACAATTTGATATAATAAGTTGAATGAATATTTAATAACGAATATGGTAGACAAGAACGATACAAACATTGCTGGGGTGGGTTGACAATTGTTGGAGGGGGGGTGTATACTGAAGCTGACACAATCTAGATAAAACGTATAAACACAAATCAATCAATCAATCGATCTATAATACACCATCATAAACTACACAATGTTTACTATATTACATACATCACTAACTTGTCTTCATAATACCGGTGGGACGTTCAACCTCATTTTATTCACGTATTCGTCAAATGGGGTTTAACGTCCTACTTTTCTACACTGACTGGGCTAATGAAGATGGGTTTATGCCATGCAGTGTGTGCTACCGTATAAAAGACATTCTGCCCGCACAGCGACACAATGCCCCACTGTTATTTCAAATTCCAACACAGGCTTATGTGTAGGTCTTAATTATACCAGCAAGGCTGAATGAATTCAGGTCACTCTATTGGTAATTGGAATCCATAAATTTAAATATAGCCAGATCTGTTGGTTTCTTTTTCTTTGATGACTTGACATGATTTTACTATAAAGCTTCCTGGCTGGCAGCCACTCCCCTTATAACACTTGGACCTTAGTGCCATTGACATCTGAGTATTAATTTGAAAATGTTATAATACTATACCGGGCCTATATACAATAGAGTTTATTTAGTTCTAGTGTCATTGCCATTAGTTTGAAAACGAGTTCCCTCCCTAATCATATTTTATCCCCATTAGCGGACATGTTAGATCTGTTGGTGTCTTTTTTAAAAAAAAGTATTAGTTCTTTATAGTGGTTATATATAACAATTAAACTAATCAACTAGTACCTAATGTTTCTCTAGGCCTACCTGGTGAAATGTCAAGACATTGATCAACTAGTACCTAATGTTTCTCTAGGCCTACCTGGTGAAATGTCAAGGTACTAATCAACTAGTACCTTATGTTTCCCTAGGCCTACCTGACAAAATGTTGAGACAGACGGCTAATAACTAGATCTACCTTGTAAAATATCAAGGTGCTAATCAACTGGTCCTTAATATTTCACTAGGCTGGGAAATAATGGTTTTATTTGTAGGCCTAAACCCGAGATATTCCAGTGGGGAGTCGTCGACCTTTGTTTATTAAAATCTGATCAGATTAAATTTTTGTTACGAGTTGAAGTAAATACAGTTTTTGATAATTAAATATCACTATTGAGACCACCTTCACATATATCAGCCAACATTTTCACATATCTCAGACTGACATGACAAGTTTTTCAAAGAGTAGGACAAATTTTGAATATTATTTCATTCATAAATATATATTTAGGTGTTTTAAATTTAACTGTATTTATAGTCTTTTAAGGTTAAAATCATTTTAATGCCCTATTTTACAACTTGTATATAAATCAACTGCCAGTCCCAGGTGAATTCTTCAGTCGATCTTTTACTGGTTATCCAGTACCGGGGAAACGAGAACCATAATGAATATACATGTAGGATCTAAATTCTCATAAAATGTAAACCACCTTAGGAATATTCCATTTAAAATTACAGGGGGGGGGGCAGATACCATAATATACTGAGCTTTTTTCAAACAGACCCTCCCCCCACGCCCCATTACATTACCCACAAAACCCAATTTTTCCACACGTTCAGTAAAAGATTATTTTTTTAAAAAATGTGTGGTACCCTCCAGATATTTTTAAATGGATTAGCCCTAAAGGAAAATCTTTCCTCCCACTGCTAAAGACCCCTACGCACAAGCTTAGCTTTAGCTCGAGATATTAATCATTGAACTCAGTCAAGACATTCCCCTAATGAACATCAAGTTTAAACATTCTACCTCAATAAAAAGCAGAGTTGTAATGTTCCGAAGTCTTGACCAATCAAATTGCTTATCGCTCATTAGCCTAAGCAGAAAATTCTAATTATCAAACTTAATCAAGGTAATGATGTAATGAATCTATATTCGGTGTTTCATCACTCTCACTTAATTAGAACTAAAGTTATTGTGTCCCAAAGCATCAACCAATCAAATTGCTTATCTCTGCTTACCCTAAGCAGAAAATGCTCATCTTCGAACTCCATCAAGGTATTGACCTAATAAACACCTACACCAAGTTTGAACATTCTAGCTTAATTAGAAAGAGAGTTATTGTGTCCCAAAAAGTGTGACGGACAGACCGACAGACGGACGAACTCATTTTAATAGTCCCCTGCTTTCTTTGAAAGACAAAAATATGTAAACATATTATAAACACTCCATTATATACCAGATTAAAACATATAAACAAATTATAAACACTCGCCTTAAAATTCCTCTCGTATCATACTGCATGGAACATGCTTGTCTTTCTTGATGCAGAACAATAGGACATTAAAGGACATACCAAATATAATTTTAATACAGAGATCATTGCTACAGTAGATGCGTAACGAAGATTTGAAGAAACAGGAAGTGACACAAAAAATGGAAAACACAAGTAATCCTTATATTAGTTATTTTAGTAATGATGTCTGATAGAGGCTAGCTTTCATCGTTACTGGCTGATCCTAAAGATAACTAATATGAAAATAAGGCTTTTCCCCCACCTTGGTTCTAAGGATATTTCTGAATCCTAACCGTCTATTTTTCACCGTGATTCTTCTTTGATGGCCAGTGTCAATTGATCCTTGGAGTTTTATATACAGCGTGAAAGTCCTGACTAGATTAGTGTCACGGGCCGTGGCATATCACTGTTTTTTAGTGCCGTGACGAAGGATAGTCACCGTAGTGTCACACTATTTTCTACATAAAGTGAGGAGGTTTAGCTCCTTCAAAACAGTATTAAATAAAAAACCTACCTTTAGCTCTGTTTATGGCACGTAAAGGACGTATAACTCTCAACACAGAGAATTTTTACAACTGATATAGCTTCATGGCTGAAAATATTTGAAAAAGGTGTAAAAATAATGATTTCAATTGGAGGTGAACATGAAAACCTAAGAACACTGATTTCCCATTAGTTTAAAATAACAATTCAATATGTGTTCACTTGCTGTGTACACAAATATATTTTATTATTGTGAAATGCATAGTAAGTCTACATAAAAAATCCAGTGTATAAAAATAATGATTACAATTTTCATTTTGATAGGAACAAAAGTAAAATACCAAAGCCCAACCGGCTTTTACTTTTCTATTTGATATATGCTCGACAGATAATCTTTGATATCTTTCCTACGGTCTTTTACCCGCTTGTGATCTTTCTCTGCAGGATACGCATCATAAATGCCACATTTTGACTCAAAATATTGAGAAAAATCGCATTTCTCCTCCATGGCAGCCATCTTGGATTTGAGGTTGGACACCAAGCTAAAATCAACCGTGTCTGTTTTGCTAGAGCGGGTGGCGGTACGTTCGAAATATTTTTCATCCGAAATGCCGTGATATATAGGGCATTTAGAGCACTTTATAAGTGTTGAGGCCTCCTAGAATCCTTTCAGTGAATATCAGTTTATTGTCAGAAATCCAGAAATCGGCAATCTTCTCATCAAAGATTCGCTATGTTGTAGACTAGCGCCGGTGGATTTTATTGTTGATATTGTTAGGACATATACTCGCCTCAAAATACATACCCCCGATTTCGACCCACCCCCTGCAGCAGACGAGATATAGCCCCTCAACGATTGGGTACATTTCACTATGGGAAAAGTGGTATCCAGAAAACGCCCCCCAGTGGCTAAAGACTGTGATATTGGGTCGGTCTTTCATGTTGTGTTTTTAGGGGCCGACCCCCACTATCCATCCACAATCGGACATAATCACTAACCTGATGCTTTTAGTAGAATTTGATAGCTGAAAAATGACAAATTTTCACCGAAAATTCGCCAAAAATGGCTAAAAATCGACATAGGGCCATATCTAAGAGGAGGTTAATATTTGGGGTCGGCCATTTTGGCTTTTTGCATGGTGGGATGGGGTGACTTTATGACCTGAGTAAGAATGAATTTGGCCGACCCCCACCTTATCACTTTTGCAGGGTTTTGCATGGTTTTCTCACGGATTGACTCTTAACAATAATCCACTAATTGGCTTAGGGAGATGGGCCCTGCTGATTTAATGAGCTTTGGGGTACCTGGCTAATCTGTTAATTGACTCTAGGGTTAAAGTGTAGACTACCTATCTATAGTGGTGTAAAATCATCCAAATTGTACCATATTGCATGCCTAAATGCAAAATTTTCTTTGCCCCCAAATCCCCCTAGGCTAATTGGGGGGGTCAGCTCTAAACAAATATGGCAGAAAATTGATGCATCGTAACCAAATTTCAGGCAGATTAGCATAACGTATTTTGAGGTTACCATATAAGAGGCTTATTTCATACCTAATGTATAATGAGTTCACTAGTAGTACCACTCGGCAAACCTTGGCAAACTCTGGTACCCTATATCTAGCCTCGGCTGTATGTACCTACACCTATGCTATTGCAATGTGGCTACCAGTTCACTTAACAGGAAAACTTGTCGCATTTAGAAAAAAGTTCTCAAAATTGCTTTGTTCGAAGAGTGTGTAGAGTATTCCTTGCAAATTTGTCCTTTGTTTAAAGAAAATCGGATAAACTTTAATGACATTGAAACCTTTAATGACATTGAAAGCTTTGTATGATAAAACACTCTTCATGGGTGACACCATTTGTAATCCGGGAACTTGAAAGTAGTTCCAATGGCAGAATTTGTCATACAGCCGAGGCTAGATATAGCGTACAGGAGTCTGCTGAGGTTTGCCGAGTGTTGTAGTACATCATGTTCAATTCTTGTCCGGGTCCAGTTGACAGAGCGTACATACACAACTCTATTGAATTTACGTATGCAACTTAAAAAAACAAACTTTGAGAAACATACTGTAATTGATTATCTCCCCTTTGACTACAAATATCCAGGAGTAACATTTCTTGTCAGGGTCCAGTTGACAGAGAGTATGTACACAACTCTATTGAACTTCCATGTTCGCAACTTAATGTACACTTTGAGAAACATACACTGTAATTGATTATCTCCCCTTTCATCACAAAGATCCAGGAGTAACATTTAGATCAATGATCAAGGTTCAATTTTATTTCAATAATTCGATTGCACGTAGGGGTCTCTAGGAGTGGGAGGAAACCAAAGGATCCGGAGAAAACCCATGAGGTTGGACAGATTCACGCAAGGATCAAACCTGGGACCTCTTTGTTAGTGAGCAAGGGCCTGCCCACTGAGCTACCATAGCTCCCTAAAGACTCACCTATGATGGTCAAGGTATCAGAAGAGTTTGACGAGAGGATTAAATCAATTACCTGGTTGCTTTAAAGACACGTAATAATCTGGCACATGTCAACACACTGACACCTTCTGTATAAATTAGAACCACCTCTAATATACTACATAACACAACAAAACTGTGAAAATGGTTAAACAAAGACACAAAATAACCCTGGAAGCCTAAACTGTAGATTTTTTACAGCATTTCAAATGTAAATAACACAACAAAAAACAGATTGGCGATACCTGAAAATAAAAAAAATAACATTTATTAATTTTATTCAGAGAATAATGAGGGAAATTTTCCACATGTAGATAAATTAAAAATCCAACTGACAAGTGTTCTTTTACGTGCCCGGACAGCCGCGCTACGGCCAACTCTTACATCGAATTCCAACTGTCAAATGTGTACACAGGACCTCAGATTTCAATCTCATTCGAAAGACTAGACAGCTGTCCTTGTCAGGCCCTCCATCCTGCACCAATGACAAGAGAAAACCACACCAGAAAATCCCAATGAACTTTCTTGGTCAACACCGGGATCGAAACCGCTACCTCCAGACTAGCGAGCCAGCATCATACTCGCTTAGCCACTGTGGCTCCAGTACTTTCTCGGCCAACAGAGGGATCTCCGGAATAGTGAGCTGAGAACTCTGGGTTAACGAGCCAACACCTTACTCACTGATCCACCGCATCTACCGTGTAGTCACATGACTTTGATGTTCATGATATCGCATCAAATAACGTTTTAGAAAATATCTTTATCTCTAAAACGCAGCATCAATCAAAGATACTCTATGAAAGGAAAAATTACTTTGAAAACTATCAAGTCATTCAATTGTCTATAATGTTCTGATGTTAACACACAAGTATTTAAAAATACTAATACAATAACTAGCCAATAAAAAACTTGTGATTTCAATATTTTACGACTAAATCATCTACATCTTCGGTTCTATTTTTCTAATATAAACCTGAAACACAACAAAATAATTCTGAGATCTAATATCATTTTGAGAAACTGAAATGATTTAAATAGACTAAATAGGTATCAGACCAAAAATAAAATACTAGTTGTCTTTTGCGTTAATTATGCCAAAAAAACAGAAGATATTGGATACTTTTAATTAAACATACATTATACAAGAGCTAAATCTGCCTATTGCAGGTCTTTCTTTAGACATGAAATGTTATATAAACTATTAATTAGACATTAATTAACAAAACAAGACCATAATCAACTCTCGATGGCATCGGATACTCAAGATTTTAACTAGATTAAAATAGTTCACCACATAAAAATTTAATTTAAAAATGGGAAAGCGAGGATAAGTCCTGAATATACCAGTGCCCTGGTTACCACTATGCACACATCTTGTCAAAACTACAAACAATGATAACTTGGCTAAGAATGAAGTAATTTTTATCATCTATTTTTGAATTATTATAGCAAGAATGACCAACTCTTTATTAAACTCTTAACTAATGTATCTTTAAATAGCATTAACTCCATTTGAGTTGGTCAATAAAATCTAAGTTCAAGTTATACACGAACAAAATTACTATTTTAAGACATCAATAATAACACAATAATCACAATATAAACAAACTCATTTATGATTTATGTATAATACTTAATTGGGACGTTTGTTGAACCATGGTCGGGAAATTAAACACTTATAAATTAAAAACTTGTTTTTAAAATTGAACGGTCAGCTTTAAACTGGGCACAAGTAAAAATTAGATGATTTTATATGTTCTTAACAAATTTTTAAACGAAGATCTGATATTGAAGGAATGTGAAAAGAATTAGGGCTAAATATGCAAGGTTAAACGATACCCAGATTACAATGAAAATGTTGATTAACAAGTTAACACTATTTAAACTCTTGTATAACAAAACGTTTACAAGGTTTGTTTTAAAATTCTTATGGTGAACAACCAAATTTTCAAACGAAGATCACATATTGAACATGAACAACCAAATTAGATGATTATGGGTGATTTTAAATGATTTTTACAAATTTTTAAACAAAGATTTGATATTAAACGAATGTGAAAGAAATCAGTGCTAGATACACAAGATTAAATGATATCCAAGTTACAGTGATAATAAAGTGATTGTATTCCATATAAATTGTGTTGTGTGAGGTTGGTTTGAAAGATAACTTTGTTTTTGCAGACCCAATGGAAACTGCCACAAATCTTTTAATAACACATGAATACCCATATTCCTGAAGTAATGGCCCAAGAAATCCCTCTCTAATCAAACGGAACACTGCGAGGAGTATGATGAATACCCTACTTTAAAAGTTTTTAATTAAAATCTAATGATCTTTTTTCTTAAAATATCTCAAATCTTCCTTACTTTTTTTTGTTGAAACCATGATGGAGTTAATTATAAGTCAGTGCTGCTTAATTCTTTTGATTGATCTGATAACTCAGCTTCCATAGATTTACACCTGTGAAAAAAAAACAATATTTAACGAATTATATGTAATAGTTATACACCTTGTTTTCAAGGTGCATGGGTTGATACATCGTCCCTTTTTTGAGTGGAGCTCCGAGGCGAAGCCAAGGAGATCTCCACTCAAAAAAGAGACGGTGTATCAACCCATACACCGAGAAAACAAGGTATATAACTGACTTATACTAAATACTTTTTCGAGAAATAGAGATTTTTTCTATTTTTCCCAATTTCAAAAGCATTTTTCATTTCACAAATTTATCAAAGTTTCCCATTTAGAGCCCCCCAATTATCTCATCACAAACGCTTATTTCTACTCAGGTAAATGATGTCAGTACACTGCACGTGCATTTCACGGTTTAAATCAGGTCAAGGAAAATGTTCATAACAGGGATATTGATTGGTTGAGAAAAGCAAACGTCATCCAATCATTTTGTACAATAGCCATTTCTTGTTGTTTTGCCAACATCCTGGCTGCGTCGATTGTAGTGGATGGCAGAAATGAATGCGGGAATTCGTCGAAGAATCCTACTTTATAATGTCACAGATATATATTTCTAAGACCGAGAATATCAGTTCTGCAAGAGATTTCAATGATCGCGAGGATTTAGAAGCCCAATCCTTCACAGAACAAGAAATTAAAGCCATGCAGATGAGTCGAATTCCGCCAAACACAAGGAAAAATACCAATTGCATAGGAATATGGTGACACTTCGAGATCAGTACAAAAGATTGGATTTTAGTGTTGAAAATGCCAAGAGATTAATTTATAATAGTAAAATATTTGGATTATGTGCTGCAGATGAGCATAAACCGCGACAAAATTTGAAAGTTTTTAGTGTTGAAAATGCCAAGAGATTAATTTATAATAGTAAAATATTTGGATTATGTGCTGCGGATTAGCATAAGCCGCGACAAAATGTGAAAGTGCGACTAGATATCAAAATGTAAAGAAATGTGAGACAAAATGTAAGAATATGACTGAGAGTGACGCACATTCGGAAAGTTACAGAGACAGTTGAAAATGATGACTCTTTTACCATAACATGTTCAAAATGGGTTGTAGATGTTCAAATAAATATGTAAATCATGATTTTGTTATTTATGTCCCTTTTCAACTGATACATGGCCACTTTTCAAAAGTTATTGATTTACTTAACATAGAAATACAGAGGGTAAAAGGCTAATCTTAGTAAAACAAAGAGAAAACAAGCCAACAGTGAGGCCGATATCTCCCTGACGAAAACCCAAAATATCTTTTAACACTATTGATTTACTTAACATAGATTTACAGGCGGAAAAAGTCTAAACTTAGTAAAAGAAAAAAAAAAAAAAAAAATTAATCAAATCAAATTAATGGAAAATAAGTTCAGAAAAAGAAAAAAAAGCAGAAAATAAAACAAACTATAAATAGATCCAGATATTTTTTTTAAAATACCAAGAACAGATAAGTGGTGGGAAGAGGGCGTGTCTGTTCTTTTAAAGGCAATTAAGGTTAACAAATATATTCTAAAGCCTGTCTCACACAGGTGTGCTTTACCCTGGCATAGATAGGGAGAACGGTGACCCTGTGTGGTGATGCCACAGTGACGCAGCCCAACACCAATGCAAAATGTATGTCGGATGACGCAACCATAGAATCAACCTGGCCCCGAATTCACAAAACATTCTCAGACTTAAGTTAAGAATTTACTCAAAATTGTTCACCTAATTTTAACTTACATATAGCCCCTTATAAAACTTTTGTTATTTTAATATTTCAAATACATCAATAAGAAACTATGTGAAAAGTTTTGTGTTTCTGGATCAAAGATATTTCTCATAAACAGTGATTGAACTTTCAGTAACTGTTTAACTTAAGTCTGAGAATGCTTTGTGAACTTGGGGCCTGACGTCATGCCGCAAGTGTTTTTTTTGGCTGTCAGTTGCCACAAAAGGTTAGGCACACTAAAGCGTCACATGGCAAAACACTGCATTACTCGTCGTAGAATAGAAATATTTAAATGGCGTTACTATTTGTATCTAGGCGGTCAGACTATTGGGCAAAATATTTAACATTTTCAACACCCGTGGCACCAAGCTACTGGCACACACCTGTACGCTACAGGGCTAGAAATTCACACGAATCTCCGAATCTGATTCGCGCAAGGATTCTCGCAAGAGCTTACGCTGCGAATCTAGAAGGATTCGCGTAAAATTTTTCTTAAAAAAAAAAAAAAAAAAAATTTCGGAGAATTCTCGAGTCCAACTGTTGAATGTCAGTCAGGGTTAATTGTGGGATTTAGCCGATTGATGTTTAATCTAGCCGATTGGTAAAACAATGAATCGGCCACATGGTATCATAAATCAACAGTCATACCTTAGTGCGAATCGGCCATATGTGGTTCATAATCCGAGTAATTAGCACATTTAACGGTGATTTTGATAATCCGGTAAAAAAACAAAACAAGCTTGCTGATAATTCATACTAGGTTCAGTAAAATACGCACATGGTGAATGAAATGAAGACGATCTCAGCATGGTTTGCGAATCGCGCATCTTCCACGCTTCGTCCGTGAGAATTCCCGGTATTAAAATAATAACTGGATCATACATTGATGGATTCACCGAACAGTTGTTACTGTAGTTAAATTTAAATTTGCATTGAATATAATCCCCTGGTAGAACACCGAATACACGGGGAGAGAAACAGTGGATATTTTCCCAACAGAATCTCGAATGTCGAATTCCAATGACACGTGACATATTGGTTGGAATTAGGTCAATAAACCAGTTCTAAATAGCGTTTACCGTTATGATTTTTTATTTTATATACATGCTGACAGAGACTTAATTTTAAAAATATTATTGAAGGCTATATCATAGTCGTACCGAAGTTTATTTTGTCACGTGATCATTGTGCAGTTTGTCTATCATCGACGAATGAATAAAAACTTTTGCAAGTTACGTGACTAGTTGCGTGATAGACAAAAGACTACAAATTGTGCTATGCAGAAATGCCATGGTGCTGTATCAGCTTATTTTGACTATGGCATTTTCTGAATATTACTTCTGACACAATTTAAGCGTTTACCAAAAACTCCATCTGATTGGGGTTTTTAACATTGTTGTTGTATATTGGTGATTTAGATTATCACAATAAACACAATTTTGTTTTTTTAGACAGTATTATTAATTAAGATTCGGAGGATTCGCACAGATTCCATATATGAGAATCCTCTTAGATCCTTGTAAAAAATGACGAATTTCTAGCCCTGCGCTACCATTGTCTAAGATGCACATTGACCTACCTAGGTAACTCAAGGGGTTACACTTGTGTGAGACAGAGTGAAATCAGAAGTTTCATCATAATTTAAACATATATACTAAATTTAAACTGAACATGGTCAAATCAGGTAACATCAAAAATTCTTTTTTTAACAACCCTCAAAGATCACAAAAATGCTAATAGCTCTCTGAAAGGGTTGGCATATTGGACTTGTAGCCTGGCTATGTAAAGTCTAGTTACATATCCAGATGCAATGAAAGCACACCACTGATTCAACTGGAAGTGCTGGCGAGGCATTAATGTAACTGAAATGTGATTTTTAGCATGATTGTAGACCAGACATTTACTGATGCAAGAAAATGAACAATGATGTTGTTACATTCAGAATTGCAAAATTAAAGTGTATCTCTCAAGCAAGATTAACAATCATCGCCTTATAAAAGTGCTGACTCGGTATATAAAGGTGTGGACTCTGTATATAAATGGGTGAAGAAAAATAAACTTATTATGCCTAGGTATTGCTATTTCTTCACCTTCTGCATCACATTCAGGATCAATATCATCTAGAATTTAAAAAAAAAATCAGTTAAAATAAACTTTCTTAAAATTACAAATCAGTAGTACATTTCTCAACTTAGATGAAAGGGCCAAAAATCATTTACCTGAAAAATCACATTTTGTCCCAAAATTATATAAAGCAAACTGATGCAAGAGGCTAATGTAATTCTGACCAAGTTCAAAGATTTTAGACCAGAAATTATCAACAACGACTGCATGGTCAATACAAGCATTGGGTACTCATCTTTAGCTTAAAAAACAACATTGCCCACTGACTTTAGCTGTAAATTAATTCATTCTAAAACATATCTAAAACAGCAGATATAAACTGCATGGCTCGAAATGTTCGCTTGTCTACTTGTCGCCGACAGGCGATTTTTTCGTCTGACAGGTAGCAAATAAAACTACATGTCGCTTGCGACAGGTGGACTAAATTTTACTTGATGTTCAGTAAATTGACCACAATACTCACGTCCACGTCACGTACATTTAATTATTCGTTTCTAAATGATTTTACTTGATGTTCAGTAAATTGACCACAATACTCACGTCCACGTCACGTACATTTAATTATTCATTTCTAAATGCAAGAATTAAGCACGGAAATACTGCGAAAAGCCGCCATTTGCACTGTTTACAATTACATTTCGCTCTGTCGTAGGCGACAGTTACTCACACAGTTTGGAAGTAGACAATTTTATATCAATGAATTTCACACCATCTACGCTTGTTTTGATCTGCTTGACACTAGTTTATAGCATTATGGAGTATTATATCTAAATAAATTAAAACGCACCCCCAAGTCACCTGAAATAATTCTACCGTAACGACACCACAGTAAATATAGTAGTGGTTGGAATGGAAATGCACACGGCTCGTTGCTTGGTGTATTTAATCATTTAAAAAGTTTTAAACAATTTCCATAAATAAAGGCTATGAATAATTTATAAGACAATTTGACAAAATCAAAAAATCAGGTCGGAAAAATATTTCATATATAAATATAATTTGTAGCGTAAAAATAGTTCGGATATGTGAGAAGGGAATTCCAGGTGGCGTTATCTGTCCTTCGCACGCGGTACATGTAAATACGGTGCCATGCACAGGTGTGATTTGTGTTTTGATATTCAATGTATTACGGATATTTTAAAATCTGAATTCTACAACTCAACAGTGAAGTATTCGATTTAGTACGGAAGTGTGGTACCATGATACTTTGCGGAATTCACGTGGATACGGATGATAGAATTGTATGAATCTTCGAATCGCCGAGAAGCAGATTAGCCGACTTTCAAGAACTTTTAGGCATTCCGATGTCGAAGAAATAAAAAGGTTTCATATTACGATATTTATATAGAGCAATGTACGTCAAAGACCTAACCACATATGTGTGTACCTACATGTATGGATATGTGTGATGTGATTATTCTTTGAGTTTGATAATTAAGAGTGACAGGTTATTTACTGAAGCGACAGGTATGAAAAAAAGCTACCTGTCGCTTGCCACAGGTAGCTTTTTTTTCAACATTTCGAGGCCTGAACTGTGATACATATATATATATATGGCTGTAATTCAAATGGACAGAAGTAACAAACTGTTAGGACTGGTCATGGTCAATGAGCTTGCAGTCTACTTTTGATCACTTTTCCAAACATTTAAATAAATTAACCTTACCAGCTTGTGTGATGCAATCTAACCACGTAAAACCTCCTCCAACTGTTGTTTTAGCTGTAATTTTTGGAAGTCTCCTGTAGCTTTGGCTTTTTCTCTCTCTTTGGAAAATTCTCTATAAAAAAACAGTGACAACAATAAGAATGGATTATATTTATATTTACATACGGACAGACATAAAAATTAATGCCAAGACTTTTTATTTGAAGATAGCTTTAATACATGTACATGTATATCCAAGTTCTGCGAGTCAATTTTCCTTCAGTCTGCTAAGAGCCAATACTGCGATTGTTTAAACATACAGGACCTCAGTTTTGCGTCCCATCTGAACAACTATACGTTTGACCCTTGCCACTACCTTAAAATCCCTCAAGGTTAGCTAGCCAACGTCCTATTACTGAGCCATCATGTCTCACGTTCTATGAAATAAAGTTTAGAAGGTGATTGATGTCATTAATAATTGTATGTACCCACTCAACACACCAAGAACAAGATTAAGTACAAAAAAAGAACAGATAATAATAAGACTGATAAAATAAATCCATGGCCATTCATTACCAACTGCATCATTTACCTGAAAATAAAACAATTAACATTACATTATTTAATGGACAATTTTGAGAGTGGTCTAGGGAGATTCAGTGAATTTGGTTTTTTAATTTAAATTTGCAAATATTAAAGGCCACATGGGGAATGCAGCAGGGAATGTGTTAGATTACGTTCTTCTCAACCGCTACTGGGGGTTTGGTGGCATAACGATCTAACAAGTGCAACATAAATCATAAGGTCCGTCATTGAGTCAAGTAGCGTAGTTTCGATTGCCAGCTTGTACGTGACAAGGATAAGGGTCGCCTGTTTAGCCTTGTGGGTTTTCTCTGGTTACTCCCCCTGCTAAAGTCCCCAACACGCAAGCGAATTATTGAAATAAAATTGAATCATGTTAGTCTTGAAATGACCTAGTCTGCATCACAGAGAGTGCCATCCAATTAATAACTAACTGCCATTCTGTGATCTGGCTTTCGAAAATTTTAAATAGTTACTGAACAACATGTAAAAAGAGTTTGTAAAAAGTGAAACAGTTTTTAAAAAGTGACGTAATAAAAATTGTTTGGAGGATATGTAAAACTGTTCTGGCGGCAGTTTCACAAAGCAACTTACGATGAAAAATTTGCGTAAGTTTATCGTAACGTAAACTTACGTAAAAATCGCGTTTCACTAAAATTCTTAACTTACGAAATTCGTAACTTTTATCGTAAAGTCTACGGCAACTCTCACCTTGTCGTAAGTTGGAATTTTTTTCGTATCTTTGACAAAATGGCCGCCTTGTTACTTTATGCGGATCGGCAACTTCGACGAGAGAGAATATTCTGGGATAGATTAAACCCTCTCGACACCCATACAGATGAGGAGTTAGTTTCGCGGTACAGACTTGATCGGACCAATATATTACATCTTATTAACTGTATTATTATTAATAATGATGATATCGAAACCGCAACTTACCGATCGAAATCCTTGTCATCACCTGTACAAGTCCTGATTGCATTACGATACTATGCCACAGGTAGCTTCCAAAAACTCATTGCTGATGCACATGGGATGAGTGTACCATCAGTGTCTAGAGTAATTTATCGTGTTTCACGAGCAATAACAACCTGTGTTGACGATAAATTATCAATAAATTTCCCCTATTCCATGGAAGATATCAATTCTACAAAGGAAGGTTTTCACCAAATAGCAGGCTTCCCAAATGTAGTGGGAACGATTGATGGTACACAAGTTGCCATCATAGCACCATCGGGAGAAAATGAGCCGCTGTTCGTCTGCAGGAAAGGGTTTCATTCCATTAATGTTCAAGCAACAGCTGATTCTAAACTCAGGTAAACGTACGAATTATCGTCTTGTTTTAACTTTAAGCTTCAACATGACACGCGATAAGGGGAAAGCGATAAGGGGACTCGTCGTAAAATTACATAGTTCACTGCATAGTTCCTTCAGAATCCCATAATTCTGTTCAACCCCCTTAATTAAAACACCGGGAGCTGCCGGGTTTCAATTTTGTTTTCGCCTTTTTGGTTCCATTTCGGCTTTTGGCAGACTTACAGACGACGTATGGTACTATGTCACGCGCTATGACGTAGCAAACAAAAACAAGTAAACAACAGGCATGAAAATAGCATTTTATTCATAAATACACCGCTAAATCTTAGCATATATATAAGGAATATATCATTTCGTCGTTTATGTTTCAAAAGGTAAGGATCAAATCAAACATAACGGCTATAATGCCGACATTGTCAACATTCAGTCCGTGGGAATGTTTACAGAAGTGTGAATGAAGTGACGCAACATGACGTCACGACCATTCGTGACGTATTTACGAAAAAAGATACGAGAAAAAGTTAAGAAAAAACTTACGCCGGCCTTTGTGAAACCGGCGTAAATAATTCGTATCTTTTTCGTAAGTTTTTCTTAACGTAGTTTTTTTTCTTAAAGTTACGAACTTTTGTGAAACTGCCCTACATGTATTGTGATAGTATGACATAAATCACAACTCAAGTGTCAAGGCACCAGATTTTATAGACTCGTGACAAAGTCTATATAACAAAATTGATGTGACAGGAATCGCATTACCCAACACTAGTGCTTAGTACATGTACATGTAGACGTATTTACTCTTAGCACACATGTAGAGGTGTAGACACACTTACTCTTAGCACACATGTACACATGTACATGTAGATGTATTTACTCTTAGCACACATGTAGAGGTGTAGACATACTTACATCATATAAGACATCAGTCCATCCTTCCATTGTGATACATTGAAACACTGTCAACATAGCTAGGCCAAAATTATCAAAGTTTGTAATGCCAAAATTTGGCCATTGCCAGAATTCATTACAATCTGTACCTTCTAAATAATCTGAACACTTAAACCCTCTTCCACACGTATGTGGATCTTCAACTGCTATAGTTTCTGAAAAACACAAAACCATAAATATTAAGGATAATTTTAAAGCCTCAACATGCCAGAATAAGAAAGTTAAATGAAGAGTTCAAGACCATACACAATCAAAGGTACTAAAATTTTAATAAAATTCTAATCTAAAAATTGATCAAATCAATAAATTAACAAATATACTAATTAATGGGTTGCATGTAGATTTAAATGTCTTGTCGTTTTAAAAAGAGTGTGTCTAGTATTTTCATATTTTTAGTTTTTAGTAGAATGCTTGGATTTTGGAAAAAATCATATTTATAATCAGTCAGTATTTTCTCGGCTCTACTGAGTATTTGTACAGGGGACATAATCAGGGGTCATAATTCAGGAAGTTACGGTCCGATATGCACGAATATCGAAAGGAACCGAGATCTTTGGGTTATAAACTCACATTTCAAGTTTCAACAAAATCGGATAAAAATTGTGACCTATATAGGGTACACAACCTTGATATACCATATATTTACGCTATAAATTTGAGAACAAACGGCGGCCATTTTATCTGTCAATTTTGGGCCGATTTTCACGAAATTCAAACACATCCGTCCTTAGGGTGTAACGGTGATATAATCATACGTTTTTTTAAATCGTATAAAAATTATGACCTCTATAGGGTCCACAAGCTAAAAACGCGATTTTTCGTACAATCAGGGGCCATAATTCGAGAAGTTACAATCCGATATGCGCGAATATTGAAAGGAACCAAGATCTTTGTGTTATAAACTTACATTTCAAGTTTCAACAAAATCGGATAACAAGCGGTTGCCATGCAAGGTACGCCCACATTTTGCAAGAGATGGACAGAGAACAAGTGATTTTTCGTACAATCAAGGGCCATAATTCAGGAAGTTACAATCCGATATGCATGAATATTGAAAGGAACCAAGATCTTTGGGTTATAAAGATGCCTCCCAATGATGACCTGACGCGACCTTGGCAACTTTGGACCCCATTGGAAATAAGCAACGGATGTTATATACGTCAGGCTTTATGGGCTATCCTAAGTAAAGGTCTCTTCATGACACCATACCTATCAAATTTCTCTATGCTTGTCTCATATGGCATCCCACATTACAATGTAGCACATAGTTCTTATTTTCATATACATATCTGTATTTATTGTTGTCACTTCCCAGTCGTGTAATGCGACACTAGTTCTTATTATAATACATTAATTTATTGTCATGTTGTAACCTTTACTTGAAGAATAAATAAATAAATAAAACAATAAATAAATAAATAATTAATAAATAAAATAAACATGTATTTCAAGTTACATCAAAATTGGATCAAAATTGTGTCCTTTCTCTAGAGGGTCCAAAACCTTGATATACCATGTATTTACAATATTTGTGTCCGAGGGGCAGCCATTTTCTCAGGCAGTTTTGGTCCGATTTGTACGAAATTTGGACTCAACCATCATAAGGGTGTAACAATGATATATTTGAACATCTTTTTAAATCGGATAAAAATTGTGACATCTAGAGGGATCACATCCTAAAAACGCGACTTTTCGTACAATCAAGGGCCACAATTTAGGAAGTTATGGGCCGATATGCGCGAATATAGAAAGGAACCGAGATCTTTGGGTTATAAACTTACATTTCAAGTTTCAACAAAATCGGATAAAAATTGTGACCTCTATAGGGTACACAACCTTGATATACCATATCTTTAGGCTATTTGAGAACGAAGGGCGGCCATTTTGTCTGTCAGTTTTGGGCCGATTTTCACGAAATTCGAACTCAGCCGTCCTTAGGGTGTAACGGTGATATAATAATACGTTTTTTTAAAGCGGATAAAAAATATGACCTCTATAGAGTCAACAAACTAACGTGATTTTTCGTACAATCAGGGGCCATAATTCAGGAAGTTACAGTCCGATATGCGCGAATATTTAAAGGAGCCGAGATCTTTGGGTTATAAACTTACATTTCAAGTTTCAACAAAATCGGATAAAAATTGTGACCTGTATAGGGTCCACAACCTTGATATACCATATTTTTACGCTATTTGAGAATGAATGCGGCCATTTTGTCTGTCAATTTTGGGCTTATTTTCACAACATTAGAACTCAGTCGTCCTTAGGGAGTAACGTTGATATAATATTATGTTTTTTTTAAATCGGATAAAAATTATGACCTCTATAGGGTCCACAAGCTAAAAACGTGATTTTTCGTACAATCAGGGGCCATAATTCAGGAAGTTACGGTCCGTCCGATATGCACGATTATCGAAAGGAACCGAGATCTTTGGGTTATAAACTTACATTTCAAGTTTCAACAAAATTGGATAAAAATTGTGACCAAGAACAGAACGTTGAGGAACCCCTGATGACAAAACAGATTCAGACCACGATTTACAATTAACTAAAATACACTGTTTTCTACCCACAAGATAGCTTTCTAAAAGATTTAATGCAGAGCCACAAATACCAAATTTAAATTAAAGTCTACGTAGAACAATGGAAGGGTCCACCGTGTCGAAAGCAGCAGATAAATCTAATAAAATTAAAAATGTAAATTTTCTATTATCAATTTCCATTAAAATATCATTTGAAACCTGGGAAAAGCTGTTTCGGTACTGTGAAATTGTTTATAAGCACTTTGAAATGGTTCATACAGTTATCATCTAGATGGGCCTTTATCTGAGAAGCAATACATCTTATTGCTCCTGCAATGACCATTCGTTAAAAATAAAAAAGGAAGTAGAAAAATCAATCGTTATTCGTTTATTCCTGTACCCATGTTTGATAAACTCGTTCAACATGAAGGTAGGTATTTTGTTAATGAATACATGAACATTGGATGATTGTGTACTATGAAACGTTACAATAAAGGTATGCTGAACAAATGATACAGTACATCAGGTTACAACTAACGGTGAACGAACGATGAACGAATGAACGAAGAACGGTTTCACTGAAAAGATAAAAATACACATGCATGTATTTACAATAAACTCTGTAACATATACATTCTACATAACTAATAAGTAATTAGTATTGGAGTGTGCTGCTGGCGCTAAAACGACTCATAATATGCAATGCATCACCTATCAAGGAATACAAAGTTACATGTAGCAGACGAGGAAATTGCACTCACGTGACACTAGAAATGGTTCCACTACTGATGTCTTCCGCCTTACTCCAGCCACAGTAGTGGCTCGTCCCTATAGAGTTCCTTTGCGCAAGTTTTTTAGTGAAATCACTACAAAAAGGTTACTGGCCTATAGCTCCCTAAATTTACACACAAACTGACCCAAAACAGTAGTGCACCTAGCTTAACATATAATAAATCAATTCCTATTGAAATAAAGGTGAAGCCTCACTGCATAATTATATGATTTGATGAAACCCAACTGCTACGCGAAATTTCAACTGCCGGCTGGTGTCATGGCGGATTGTGTAATACGTCATTACAAGAAACATCGCTATGCAAATGTAGAACGCATAACCACGAAGAAAAACTGTTCAGTAACTATTTTAGTGGTCCAGTCTTCACTATTTGTCATAGAATTACTTATTCCAATACAAACTGTAATGATATGTGTTGACAATTGTGCGTTTGAACCTATTTGAACTTGCGTAAGGAGTCTTAGACTGTATCAATTGTAACGTTAAACACACAGTTTAACGTTACAAGTATAGTAACTAACGTGACACAAGCAATATCGGTTTTGCCTGGGGAAACACACCCGAAAGTAAATCGTTAAATTTGACAGAGTTATGAAATGACAGTGAATAAAAATGACATGGAAATGACCTGCGATATCTGTTTACACTTTTACATAATTCTCAAGTAAACTTACAACTTGTGAGAGGATAACAGGCGTTAGAAATGCATGGCCTCTAATACACATGCCGTTTTTCTGCACATCAATGGCGTTCGCTAATACCGGTTGAATATAAAACTCGAATTTGGATTACGTTACATTCAAATTACAGACTTGGACTAAATAAGAAGGGAAACAGCATTCTGCCGTAACACATCTAGATGGGCCTTTATATGAGAGAGAGAGAGAAATGGGGTTTAACATCCACTCGACACAAACTAGGTCATTTCGGGACTACCATATGGTTTATTTTTTTTTATTTCAATAATTTGCCTGCGCGTAGGGGTCTTTAGCAGTGGGAGGAAACCGGAAGACCCGGAGAAAACCCATGAGGTTGGACAGGCGACCCTACTCCTTGTCACGTACAACCGGGGAATCGAAACCCCGCCAGTTGACTCAATGACAGACCGTATGATACAGCGCGCGCGTACCAACCATTCGGCCATCCACCCCCCCCCCCCCTTATCTGAGAAGCAATACATTTCTCCAATACATTAGAAATAAAACTTAAGTTAGTGACAGGTCTGTAATTTTTAAAAGCGAGAGAGAGAGAAATGGGGTTTAACGTCCACTCGACACAAACTAGGTCATTTCGGGACTACCATATGGTTTAATTTTATTTCAATAATTCGCTTGCGCGTAGGGGTCTTTTAGCAGTGGGAGGAAACCGGAGGACCCGGAGAAAACCCATGAGGTTGGACAGGCGACCCTACTCCTTGTCACGTACAACCGGGGAATCGAAACCCCGCCAGTTGACTCAATGACAGACCGTATGATACAGCGCGCGCGTACCAACCATTCGGCCATCCACCCCCCCCCCCTTATCTGAGAAGCAATACATTTCTCCAATACATTAGAAATAAAACTTAAGTTAGTGACAGGTCTGTAATTTTTAAAAGCGAGAGAGAGAGAAATGGGGTTTAACGTCCACTCGACACAAACTAGGTCATTTCGGGACTAACATATGGTTTAATTTTATTTCAATAATTCGCTTGCGCGTAAGGGTCTTTTAGCAGTGGGAGGAAACCGGAGGACCCGGAGAAAACCCACGAGGTTGGACAGGCGACCCTACTCCTTGTCACGTACAACCGGGGATTCGAAACCACGCCAGTTGACTCAATGACAGGCCTTATGATACAGCA